AAAAAAAACATGCATGGTGTAATATAGAAGAGCCACCACCTACATCTGCAGCTAAAGGTTAAAGGTCACTCTTTTAAGAATGCCAATGTTCGCAATCTGAATTGAGAAGATGACGATGGTTTCAAAGTGGAGTAAAAGAGGCCATAGCTGAAAAGAGTGGGTGGCTTATTCCACCTTCAGTGCAGTTCTGAGATCCCTTCCAAGGTGCCTTAACCCCAATTCACACCTTGCGTCACGTTACCTTAGGTCACATGATACGGCGAGGCCTATCACCCTCTTAAGGGACAACCACTATTAAGGTTTACATACCTGAGATTCTCCGCCGTTTGGTTTTAGAACTGAAGAAGCCACTTTCTTTCCAAGCACCTTTGAAAAAAGGGCAACTTTGGTTTTAGTTTTTGGTTTTGGTTATTCTTACTTGTGAGTTTATATGTTTTCAGACGACACAACTTTTTTGATGATGACTTAAGCTGTACCCAAGCTCTGTAAAGCAGCCAAATACTGTTGAAGCTCTTTCCTTGCCAGAGGGCAGAAAACAAGTGAATGAGTACATGTAAAAAATCCCCATGCCTTTTTAAAAGACTAATTCTGACAAGCTGTGTCTGGAAAACAAAACTACAAACAATGAATACGTTAAGTTAGGGAATTTCCTTGAATAAAAAATAAATAAATCGATTTCTAAGCAGTACCTTGGGTGTGGCTTTTCTTAGAAGAACCTACTTTATTTTAGTGAAGCTCATTCTTCCCTTGTCACTGCATAATGATTTTAGTGAAGCTCATTCTTCCCTTGTCACTGCATAATGATCACCTCCTGCCGTTCTTCAAGAGACTCCCTCGTGAGGCCCACTGTTCTGAGAACATAGAGGTTTCGTTTTCCAATTTCCACGTGACGCAGCCTGTCCAAACAGAGTTTAAAACCTCACCAACTTGCAGTGCCTGGTGACAGCGGAAGAGGAAAGAAGCAGAACAACACAGAGCTCTGTCAGCACTGACTGGTGAGTTAAAATTACATTTTCTTCATATATAAATGATATCAAGTGTTTCTATTCACTATGCCTCTCAGAATGCTTGCTTGTTTTGTCACCAGCTTTACTCCTACAGACGTTTAAGCCTTCAAATTGCAATGTGGTGTCCATTTCTTTTCTACAGTATCTGAAATCTATGCCATTCTAAAGTATTATTGGACAAAAAGACACTGGAAAATGGCAGATTTTGGACTATATACCTACCAGCAGGAAGTGGTTGAAAGGGCTCTTAAACGAGAGAACGTCATAATTTGGTTACCGACTGGAGGTGGAAAGACCCGCGCTGCAGTGTATGTGGCCAAAAAACACCTGGAGACCACACCAGATGCTAAAGTGATGGTCCTCGTAAACAAGGTACCTAAAGTAGAAAAAGGGCAATAAAAAAACATCGTAAAACTGGTATAAGAAGATGACTTCATATAATGTTTTTGATGTGTTCTATTATTCAGGTTCATCTTGTTGACCAACACTACAACAAAGAGTTTGAGCCTAAACTGGGTCTACGCTATACTGTTAGGAAAGTGAGCGGAGAGAGTGATGAAAAGGACATTTTTGGGTTAGTGGTGCAAGAGTCAGATGTGGTCATCTGCACAGCGCAGATCTTGTACAACGCTCTGATTAACAAGGAGGATGCAAGACATGTCGAGCTCTCAGGTGAGTCAAAGTGAGCTTAAACACGTCTGATTATGCTGTTATGCTGAAATGAACTGACTTGAGGATTTTCTACAGATATTACTCTGCTGATAATCGATGAGTGCCACCATACTCACAAGGAGTCAGTCTATAACAAAGTAATGAGACTCTATGTGGAGAAGAAGCTGAAGGAAGAAAAACCACTGCCACAGATCTTGGGCCTCACAGCATCCCCAGGGACAGGAGGCGCAAAGACCCTGGACAAGGCTGTGGAGCATGTACTGGAGGTCAGGGATTCATTTTTTTATATATCATTTGCCACTCAAATGTCCTCCCACAAGTGTCTTTTTCTCATAATTGATTATGCTCTCTCAGATTTGTGCCAACTTGGATTCAGCCATAGTTTCAACTAAACAGTATGCTCCTGAACTGAAGGAAGTGGTGCCCAGACCCAGAAAAACCTTCAACATTGTCAACAAGAGAGATCGAGTAAGCAGATATTAAAAAAACCCAAAAAAACAAAAACCAACTGATGGATTTTGAAAAACTGCATTTTCTTGTAACATGAACAAATGCACTGAGAGACAAATGGGAAAAGCCTCATCTACTAGTTCACCTCAGAAATGACCACAAGTACTCTTATTGCCACTCCCAAGACTAGTGTTAATTTAATTCCACCTTGGAAAAATGCTAATATAAGAGTCAAATATATCTGTAGTAACAGAATCTAAAATTAAGATTTTCAAAAATTTCCTTTTAATTTTGCCTGTGCTTAAAGGGCTCTTGGGTGTCACATCACTGATTGACTGTCTGAGGCATTTTTTGCCCTGGGATGACAACCACCTGGCAAAAATTGGGACCTGCTACTAACCACAAATACATGTTTTTCTTTGAGGATCCTTTTGGTGATCATCTGAAGTCGATGATGACGATTATCCACGGTTACATGGAAATCCCTCCAGACTTCAAACTGAGAGAGTGTGGAACACAAGAATACGAAGCAGATGTGGTGATTCTGGAACAGCGAGGTAAGACCGTAGCATTTAATCCTTCTGCCGATGGCAGCGGTAAATACAACGGATTTTGTGAGAGTTAAGGTAATCAGTATTTAAATAAAATAATACTGCTGCTTGTATCTGTCCTCTTTGACCAGGAGTACGAGACAACAACAGACTGCTTGCACAATGTGCGTTACACCTCAGGCAGTACAATGATGCCCTCCTCAACAATGACACCTTGAGGATGATTGATGCTTATCGTTCCCTGGAGGAGTATTACTCCAAAAAGAGAACCAAGGCCATTGATGGGACAGACTTCTTCTTGTTGGGACTTTTTGAAGGTGAAAATCCTAACATTTTCATCACTTACTGTTATGTGTTAATTCCATAACTTTATGTTATAGCTCATAATGCAATTTTTGATGATTTCAGCCAATAAAAACATTACTATTTTGTGGCACACAGAGAATCAGGTGGAGCTAAGGAACTTTGCTATGGATTCTCGCTTTGACAACCCAAAGATGGATGAACTTCAGAGCACTCTGTTAAAACAGTTTGGGTCAGGTGTCCCATCAAGGGGAATTCTCTTCAGTAAAACACGCAAAAGCACCCACTGCCTGAAAGACTGGGTCCTCAAAAACAGGGCATTGAAAGATGCTGGCATCAAGGCAGACATCCTCACTGGTGCTGGTAATGGCATCACCTACATGACACAGGTATGATGATATACAGTCTTCACCCATAAGCTTTGAGTCAGTCACATTCAGTAACATCTCTATGGACATTTCTGCATGTTTCCATGCTTTTATTTGCATATTTCTTATAGAATGAACAGGCAGAAACAATCAGGAGTTTCCGTATGGGTTCTCTGAACCTCCTGATCTCCACCAGTGTGGCCGAAGAAGGTCTTGATATACCTGAATGCAACCTGGTGGTGCGCTACGGACTCCTTACTAATGAGATCGCCCAGCAGCAGGCAAGTGGACGTGCACGAGCAAGAGACAGTCAGTATGCAGTCGTAGCCCAAGCAGGTGGGCGTGAACATCGCAGAGAGCGCATCAATGAATATCTGGAGGAGCTGACTGGTAAAGCCATTGACCGTGTGCAACGTATGAGTCACTACGAGTTTAACTTAAAGGTGATGTTTAAGGACAGTACCGAGCCATAACTTACTGCTCTTGCTCTCACTGCCTAGTGTTACTAACATTATCGTCCATTCCTGTGTGATTCTAGTTAAGTGAGCTTCAACAAAAGGCAATTATTTCTAGTAAAATTGAAGAAAGCTGCAAAACGGAGAAGAGGAGTCGTAACACTGCTTCCAGTATCCAGTTCTTGTGTCGAAACTGTTTCACCCCTGTGGCTTCTGGCAGTGACATTCAACTTGTTGACAATACGCAATATGTCAACGTCAGCCCTGACTTTAAGTGAGTTAAAGATGTTCTGATCTAAGAGTTAAAGCAGAAGTATGTTGAGACCAAATAAAAATATATTTGCTTCTTGTTTGTCCTCAGGAATCACTACAAAGCTGCAGGGCAGGTGATTCTAGAAAGGAGCTTTGAGGACTGGGAGCCTGGGTGTAGAATCAGATGCAAAAAATGCAACAAGGTACAGTGAACTCACTGTTTAATACTGTATCTAAATAGATCCACAGTTCATGCTCATGTTGGAATCTGACTGTTATTCTTATACAAATTCACAGGAATGGGGATTCGAGATAAAATACAAAAAGCATGTCTTAATGCCAAATCTAGCCATTAAGAACTTTGCCCTGGAAACCCCCAAAGGCAGGATAACAGTAAAGAAATGGAAAGATGTACCTTTCCCTGTTGAGGACTTCGACTATGAAGAGTACTGCCAGGAAAACTTCCCTGACCTCTTTGATTGAGCCACGAACCAGAAAGCTCTGTGTGGTTTTCTTCTGCACTTTACTTGATTTTGAGACTCCAGTTTCTTTTAGAAAACCATACTGTTGTATGGTTGGAGGTTTGCATGAACACAGACTTGAAAAATTCACTCCACATATGCCTGATCTTTGTTCCAGGCAGCTAAAAACCTTAGTGCATCAGTCATGTTTATAATTAGCAATCAGTGGAAGCTTCGTTTATGCCCAGTGCCTGAGTTCATCTGTGTTCTCCTATAACATGACCCTTTAACATCATGAATATTTGACAAGCCATCAAGAGGAGATTAATTAACATGAACTGTTTTAGCTATTTTAAAATGTGTTCAGATGTAATGCTGCTGATGTGTGTATGAAGTTTGACGTTGTGGACAATTTCTGTAACTAAATCAGATGTTTTATGAGAGCCTAATCTTAAGAATTATCACTGTTCACTAACAGATGAAATCAACCTTTTTATTTTTTCTATATCGTAGCATATCAATTTTTAAACTAAATCTAAAGTTGATTAATTTAAACAAATGCTCCTTTTGAAATGATTGATTTTTCATAAGTTTGCCTTTATTAATCAGTAGGTGTCAGTCTTGGATAGCACAAGAAATGTTTTCATAAAGCCAGGATTAAAGCTTTCCACGAGGATTTTCACATTGAAAGATGTGGATGTAATAGAAATGTCTGAATCTGCAGATAATGTGGAAATATACTGAGAATGAATGACTTACAGGTCAAAGTCAAACATGACAAACCCATGAGCAAGGCATTTAATCCCCAACTGTTTCTATAAATTACGGTATTATCCACGTCAGGAGCACGGTTGTGCAGCCTTCTGATGTGTCTAGGCAACCACTGTAAAAGAGATGTGCATTCAGTTGACTGAACAGACACACATTATTTGCTGGGATGAGGATATAAAAATATATATTTCTGTTTATATGTCCGTGTAAAAGTGTTACATAAATAAAAACAAAAATAAAAAGGAAATGTGAAAATGCTGACTTCAGAGACTTTAATGAAATGTTTTAACACCTGGGGATGCACCGTCAGTATTACTGGATCAATACATAGTTATGTATTTTAACTGTTGTGGTTTAACACCATACAACTGATCTACATTAGAGATACGATTATTTCAAATTGCAATTTGTCAATTTATAAGGCATACATGTTTTACAATTATAAAGTCTGTTTAAAGCAGACTTATTCCCAAGGCGTTTAACCTTCAATAAGCATTGGGATAGTATCAGGTCTGAACACTGAATCTTTATTAGATCTATTTTAGAGCTTACGTTTAGATGTAATTTATTACTGAGTCGTAAAATAAATCTATAAACTCATTAATTCAAATTATTACTGATTGTCTGCAGCTCTCTTGACTTATTTGCAACACCAGTGCTGGCTTTAGCTGTAAATATTCTTTATACATCTTTATTTGACTGACTCCTAATGTCTCTGAACTAGGCATCTGTCAAATCTGTCATTTTTGTGCAGAAGAAGTGTAAAACGATCCATCAAATGCTTTATTTCCTCTGAGTGCACACAGAGCCCTAAGCAGAAAGCCTGGCTTAACTAAGACAGGAAGCCTGGCTATGTCAAACGTCTCTAGCTGAAAATGATGACAAGTTATTATTTAATGCAATCCATAATTTAGGTTTGTCTTGTTGGCCAATCATGAAAAAAAGAGTTTGAGAGCAAAGAGCTGGACCGAGTCAGTGGAGAGACCAATACGAAGCATTTCTTTGTGTTACTGGTGCAGACGTCAGAGCCTTTCATCTGCACAGCACAGCTCTTATACAATGCTCTGACTAACAAGGAGATATTAAAACATGTTGTGCTCTCAGGTCAGTGAATGTCAACATTTCTAACATTTTGGGAACTGAGGCGGCCAGTTCCCAGTTGATGTAGAATCAGATATAGTAATTTAAACAGGGCACAGTCTTTAATACTGTGTTTAATAATACTATAATAATAATACTATAATTTAATAATACTTTAAATACTAGTGTCAAATTGGGCTGCACGATTCGTCGACATAATCGATGACGTCGACTATAAAAATTTGTAGACGCAGAATTATACTGTCTACTTTTCATACTAATACTAATAAATATGTTTTTTTTTTTATAATACACGGTATACTACACTGCAGTACACTACAGGAAGACTGCGGTCAAGTGAGCCCTGGCTTGCGAAGTCACAGTCAAGCTCACCACAACACCAGCCGCACCTATACAATCCTGTTGCACTTTTCATACACATATTACGGTACGGGTGCGACTGGGTTAGAAACACGAGAGTCTTCTGAATACTTGCATTTTTCACTATTTTACTTCTTAATCCACTTCGAGATTTGAAATATTAGCTATATATATATATATATTTATATGACATACATTAATATATAATTATTACACTGCACGTTGAAAAAAAAATAAAATACAAATACAAATTCAGTAAGAGTTGACAATACATTTGTCTTCTCACTATACTGTATATTTTTGTTCAACCTGACCTTATCCACAACTAAACTGCTGTGCTGTATTTTTGATATTGTGTATTTTTTTAATTTATAACAAGAGAATTGTTAAAGGTGACGTGAATATTTCACTGGATTCTACAGTGTGTTCACACCGAAAAAAAGTTTGGGCAACCTTGTTAATAGCCATTATTTTCCTGTATAAATCGTTGGTTGTTACAATAAAAAAATGTCAGTTAAATATATCATATAGGAGACACACAGCGATATTTGAGAAGTGAAAAGAAGTTTACTGGATTTACAAAAAGTGTGCAATAATTGTTTAAAGAAAATTAAGCAGGTGCATAAATTTGGGCACCACAAAAAAAAAGAGAAATGAAATAAATATTTAGTGTATATCAATATGTGTGTCTGCTATATGATGTATGGGGTGCCTTTTTCTGGACGTGCTTCCCATCCAGAGCTCCACAGCAGGGAGGGAAGTTCCAGCGCTCCTGGAATCCTTGTGTGATGGACCGCCAGTCTCCAGGTGAAGGCACAGCCATTGTATTGATCGTGCCACATACCGAAGAGTTATTGTACACTTTTACAGACATAACAATAGGAATGATTTCCTGACGTGTACTTCATGGCTGAAAGGTTGAATCAGTTAGAGGGAGAAGAAGCTATGCTGCTTTACAAGGGTGGGATGAAGCAGGTGTGATGGGGTGTCCATAATGGAGAGCCGTTTGTTCAGTGACCTCTGACCTTCGCCCACCAGTGCTGCTTCTAACCTTGCAGATGAATTTGCTCTTCCTTTTGGCATCTCTGTCACTGATGATGCCCCTACTTGTACACAGCATCACTGCTGGTCCTACAGTCTAAAATGAGAACGGACTCGCGTACTTGAGAATTGAGAAAAGGAAAAATGCAAGTATCCAGAAGTGTTTCTAAGCCAGTCGGCACCCGTACCGTAATATACGT